TAAGAAAGCTATACAGGTTGCCAGAATCTTTCTTAAAGAAATTATTCCTAGATTTGGTTGCCCTTCTAAGATTTCATCAGATAATGGCCCTGAATTTGTACATCAGATTAACAAGGCTCTAGCCCAAGCATTAGGAATTAAGTGGAGGTTTCATTGTGCTTTTCGCCCTCAATCAGCTGGAAAAGTGGAAAGGGCTAACTGCACAATTAAAAGCCTTATTACTAAATTTTGTTTGGAAACTCATCTCCACTGGCCAGATGTTTTACCCATGGTTTTGTATGCAATCAGACTGCCCCCCCGCACTAAGCTGCAACTTAGTCCTTATGAGCTCATGTTTGGCCGTCCCCCTTGTCTATTTAAACCTGACAGTCAGGGCTGGCCGGACTTGAGCCATAAGGGGGGATAGACCAACATAAATTGTTACAACAACTACAGCTTCATAATTTAGCTGTTTCAAATTTGTGCCATTATATGATGAAACAACAACCACCTCCAGTGGTCACAGCAACACATGGGTTCAAACCAGGAGATAGGGTTTGGGTGAAATATTGGAAATCAGATCCTTTAAGCCCAAGATGGAAAGGACCATATACTGTTGTCATGTGTTCTCCATTGGCAGTGAAAACCTTGGAAGGAAAGTCCTGGATCCATTGGACCAGATTGAAAACAGCTGCACCTGCTGATCCAGTAACTTACAAGGTGAATAAAACTGACAAACCTTTAGTGCTAAAATTCAGAAGAAATATAACCTGTTGAACCCTACCGGCAATGGGTTCTCAACACACGGTATGAACATTAGACCTTGCTGAGACACTCCGGAAGCTGTCTCTCTACGCACGGTGGAAGAAATGAGGATTCTACAGATCATAATACCTGTTGGTTATTTAATATGGGGAATATACACACACATTCCTACACAAATCAGTGCAATGGTCACACAAGAGGTCACTGTTCTGTCCCCCAACAGTCACACTGCAAAAACCCTCTAATAGAAAACTATTAGGTACACACAAAGAAAGGACACAAACACAGGAAAATAAAAATTGCCAAAACTGCATTAAGATAACAAAACAAGGAAGCCAGATAACTAAGACTTTGATTTACTATACAATGAAACCAGAAGGATGCCAAGATAACTCACCTAACACCTGTGCATACAATAGAACTACATATAAAGTTTGTAGAAAAGGAGCCCAAGATCAGTGTTATAACCCAAAGCCTGATCCTGACAGTTGGGCCTTACAAATCCGAACACATAGAACAAAAACCAGCTCAAAAGACCAGGCACTATTAGGGATCTCTCAATGGAAATCCAACCCACACTCCAGTTTTAGCGTTACCTTTGATGTTTGTAAAGCAGCTAATTATTGGGCAGTAATGTATGGTTGCGGAGGGATCAATCGAATCCACAACTATATCCCAAACCATAAGTATTTGTGCCCACCAGATGGGTGTGCAGTCTCC